GGAGAAAAGAAGAAGAGAGGAAGAGGAGGAAAAGAAGAGAAGAAGATAATTAAAAAGAACCGAATAAAAAGAAGAGGGGGGAGGAGAGGGAGAAAAATAAGACGATAGTATAAAGAAATCATTCACATTATAGATAGATTCACTATAATCAACACTGTCCCTATTAAGCGGCGTACACTAATCCCTTCAGTGACCCCATAACCCGACATTGTCCCGTTTAAGGGGCGTAATGGCTTTGGAAATTAGATACGGCGTGTGTCTATTCATAGTGAGGAAGATAAGGGAAAAAAGTACTTGGGAGACGCGACTTTTTAACAGAGACAAAATTTGGTCTTTGAGGGTTACTTCAGGTGGATGATATAGGGAAGATGGGTGACGGAGGGGGGGGGTGTGTGTGTGTGTGTGTGTGTGTGTGTGTGTGTGTGTGTGTGTGTGTGTGTGTGTGTGTGGTGCTGCTTGCTTGTCTCTCTCTCTCTCTCTCTCTCTCTCTCTCTCTCTCTCTCTCTCTCTCTCTCTCTCTCTCTCTCTCTCTTTATATACACTGTTCATTCACTCTTTGTTCTTCCCTTTTCTCTTTCTTTTTCTCTGTCCCTTTGTTTTTCTTTCATTTGGTTCCTTATTCTGTTTCGTTTTCTTCATCTTTAGGCTTCAATCTCCCCCTCCCCCCCCTCACCCTCTCTCTCTCTCTCTCACTTTCTCTCCGTCGCTGTCTTTTTGGTATTCTCTTTTGTTTTTCTTTCATTTGCACACACACAACACCTCCTTTTCTCTGCTTTCATCTCTCTCTCTCGCTCTCTCCTTCAGCTTTATTTTCTCCTTCTAATTGAGTATAAAAATCAACCTTCATACGTACCAATTTCCATGAAACTCACTCACCAATCACAGTCAAGATCTTCCAGTCGCACGTAATTAACTCACCAATCAGGAACGAGGATTTTTTTTCCCGCGCTTCCTCCTCCAGCAATACATTTAAATAACCCGCCCAAGATTAACCAATAGGAGGCAGGCTTTTATTTCCTTCAGATGTAAGCCCTAAGCCGATTGGGTGATTGGCTGTTGAAGGGGAGGAAATAGGGAAAGAAATGATTGAAGTGAGTCCATACGTCACAAATCCTCGACTTAAAAGACGTCAATGTTTACAAAAAATTAAAAAAAAATCAATAAAAACTGGAATAATGAGCAACGAAGCTAATTGGTTAAAACTCCACCTTCCCCTCGACCAATGGGGAGCTTTATATACCAAAGGGAAAGGCATGGAAAGGTTTAGGGAAAGGCAGGAAGGACATTCTTCTTCTTCTTCTTCTTCTTCTTCTTCTTCTTCTTCTTCTTCTTCTTCTTCTTCTTCTTCGGCTCTACTGTAATGTGTTTTTTTCATTTTTTTTAGTTAAAGATGAAATAAATAATTGTATGTTTCTCACGCAGGAAAGACGGTGTTTGTTTAGAACTGATGAGAAATATTTTTTTTTTTGCATTTTTTTTATTTTATTTATTATTATTATTATTATGTGTTTGGTAGATGAACATGCGTGTTGTTAATCTCTCTCTCTCTCTCTTATTTATCTTCCTCTCTCTCTCTCTCTCTCTCTCTCTCTCATTCTTCCTTCTTCCCTCACTCCCTCTTTAACTCACTTCCTCTCATATATTCCTCCCTCTTACCCTCTTCCTCTCCCTCTCTCTCCCACTCAAAGACTCACACACACACATCACAACACCCCTTCACACCATCAAAACATAACACACATTAAAAAAAATATGAAATTACATCATAAAAAACGACATCTGTACATTACAAAAAATATATACAGAAAATACAAAAAAATACAAA